CGCCCCCAACATTGCTTGCCCTGAACCTGCAGCCACACACTCTAGTCACTCACTCTCCATCGGCGAGGAAAGCTAATGAAACTCTCTTGCCAATGTGCTCACTGTCCTTCTATCTCAATCTGCTTCCAAAGACAGCCCGAGTCTGCAGCCTCCATCAGCCTGAGGCTGGCCCAGCCGCCTCTCCATGTGTGTGCCCTCCTGCCCGTCTGGCGGGCAAGATTTGCCTCTCGAGCCGCTGCAGAGGCCAGACTGGCTGATGGAATTGCCTGCAGATGTTTCACAGAGAGAAAGATTACTTCCCTGATTGATGAATATGAAGAGTTGTCAACACGGTCTCCCTGGTCAGAGGGGACCCCTGAAGTGTAATGTGGAAAGACAGATGTTTCATCTGGGAAGGTGTCCAAGACGAAGAGGTGTGCATTTGGCTGACATGGCAGACCGGGAATTCAGGCTCTGAGCGGGAGAGGTGGGACCCACGGCCACAGCCAATGCCATGGCAGGGCCCCCGACAGGCTAGGAAGGGAGTGGCACGCCTCCTCAATGGGCCTCTCCTCCGGGCTGTTTTCCCAATGAACAAACAGATACCGTTGTCAGAAATGCACTCATCTTCTTCATCCTCGGATGTTAGTCAGAAAAAGAGAGGCAAAGGCAGCATCGGAGTCCCCACCTCAACCTCCCAGGCTGCCCTGTGTGTGTGTGTGGGCGATGCAACATGGGGAACAGTCAGGCCGGCAAGGAGGCGAAGGACCTGGGGTGAGCTCTTTTTTTTCAGAAGCATGCAACTCTGGGGCTTTCTGGCTGACCTTCCAGAATGAATCAGACAATAATGACAACAATTATCATAACTGTTTTAGTAATTGGAAGACAGCTGTCATTATGTAACCCTAATTTATGTGCTTTATATACCTTTTTTATTGGACTCTTGCACAAACACACACACAAAATGCCTTATGCAAGGATTATTAAATTTTACTACCCATAAATGCTCTCTGCGAGAATTACTGGCAGACGTACTCCAGCAAACAGAAAAGAGGAACAGGGTAAATGCTTCCTTGAAACCTATCTGACAGTCGAGGACGTGCAGACTCACAACGGTAAAGTAACAAGCCAAGGTCCCGTGGCCTGGGAGCACCGGGCCCTGGAATGGAGCCCAGATTGGTCTCCCTCCCAAATCCATGCTTCAGCCACTGCAAAGCTGCAGTCACCAGCAGACGGGGAGGTGCGGGGTACACTCTCAACAGGAGAAGAAATGTGCTGGTGCTTCCACCACAGAAACCCGGTGTGCCCAGGGAATCACTACTTACACCTGGGCACACCCGAGTGCCGACGACACTCCTGCCTCTTCTGCGGACGGATTTGAGCGTCACACTGAAAATCTCGTATCTGGCATTTCCAGAGAGGGCTGTGTTTCAGGAGTAAACAGGCTGTGGACTCTCCACATCACACACACGGACACAAACATGCACACACAAATAAAGATAACCAGACGGCTGAACAGAGCACAGCCCCTTCCCCAGGGGCAGCTGGGGGGCTGGCAGCAAAGGAGGCAATCTTTCCTCCTTCAGAGAAGGAGGGGATCAGGTGCAGCGGGGGACCTGAGGGCGGTTTCCTCAGAGTAGGTATGCCGTAAAAAGAGTTTTAATACCAAAAAACCATTTTTACCATCCCATTCCCCAGTGAACTTGATTTTCCTTGAGGGTGGAGCAGGGTCTCTTGTTTACCTATAGCTCAGCGCCTAAGAAACAAGGTACTCAATGCCTGTCTGCTGGGGAACCACGACAGAGCAGACAAGGCCCAGGAGGATGAAGAGGCCAGCATGCGGCAGTGACAAAAGCCACACACGTAGGAACTGGACAGCGATGGGTATGAATCACACCTGCCAAGAATCACTTGCTGCTCTCCGCCTCAGTTCTCTCATTTTTAGAGTAGAGGAGAAAAATAAACACCAACTTGACAAGATGGCCGGGAGACTTCACAGATGTGGGTGCTGAGCACAATGCCTGCCCGTGCTGGGGTTGTGGGGGTGAGATGGATCCTTGCTTCCAGGAAGAACACTGCTGCCTCGAGGGGCAGCAAAGCAGATCAGGACACCCTGCATCTTGGTCTCCCTGGCTCAGGGGAGCTCGAAGGCCAGGCCTGTCGCTGCAGGTACCATGCCTGCGCAGGCACAGGGGCCATGCTGTGCTGCCGCAGCTGCTGGACCACACTGTCAGAGCACGAGTGCCTCGGGCAGCATCAGAGGCAACCAGGTAGGGACCGAGGGACCCTAAAACATACTCCAAGAAGGGCCGTCAAAGGGACTGGCTTCAGGCTTAGTTGCTGAGACTTCAGGACTAAGGGATGATACGGACACATTCTCTGTGGTTCTGTAATGGGGTGCAGCCAATAGGGGGGGCCCAGAAAAGGATTTGGAATGGGGTCCGAAGCTCAGGATGTCCAGGAAATATTAAGATGTCTTGTATAGCCACAGCCTTGCAGCTAATCCATGGCATGGTCATTTAACATATCTATAGCCTTTGGTGGGTCACTTGGATATGTTAAATGGCTGTGGCCTGGCTTGGAGCTAGGGGGATGAAGTCACTTCCCCCAAGATGTAACTGGGGGCAGGTCCCCCAAGTTACAGTGCCTGCGTGGGAGCTTGGAGAGGATTGGCTCCAGGACATGGGGCGATAACTGTCTAGACTAATGATGGCAGCCCAGTAAACTTGTAATAATACAGAAATGCTGGCAGGTGTAGCTGATTGTGGGAGGAGTCAGAAATGGGGCTGCAAAGGAGAATGGGTATGGAGATTTAAACCCAGACGCGGCAGCAATTGGGAGGGAGAGCCACGTGGTTTCAACAGAGTTAAGATCCCCTCTTGCCGAGGTGAAGAGGAGGGAGAATCATGCATTTTGGCAAGAGGGCACACCCCTGCAGCCAGGTGAAAGGGAGAACCATGCGGTTTTGGCCAGAGTGCAGACCCGTGCAGTCATGTAAGGGACAGCCATGCGGTTTTAGGCAGAGTGAAGATCCCCTCTTGGCGAGGTGAAAAAGAAAGCCACACGCTTTTGGTCAGAGTCCTGACCCCTGCAGCTTTGGTAGAAGAGGCCCATGTGGCTTTGGGGTGTCCCCTTCGGCTGTGGGGCCTGGAAAGCAGGAGAGACTTTGACTGGAACTTGGTACAAAGAACTCTTGCTAGTGGATCGTGAGAGGGTGCCACATGACTGGATTAACTGGAGATCCTGCCTGCACAGCGACACAGCTGAGGGTGCCAGCGGCTTGAAAAACAGACATGTGCTCTTTTCCTGATTTACGGTACCCGGAGTTGGGACAGTGGGAGAAGGGAGCACTGTGTGTATGTGTGTGTGTGTGTGTGTGTGTGTGTAGGTGTATACCCTAAAGGCCTTTGATATTTTAATGGAGGCGTTAGGCCTGAATAGCATTAAATAAACATTTCGTTTCCTTTTCACAAATCTCTGGCATTGAGAGACGTCTTTCCAATTGGCTGCGGATGTTGAGATCTGGGAAATTGAGAACATAGCCTGACCACAGCAAAACAGGAACAAGGAACAGCATGCAAACAAAGGCTGAGCAGACATCCTGCAGTATGTGAATGCCCTACTTAGAGCAAGATAGGCTGATTGTAATTTGTTTAGTTTTGAATTTTGAAACCCCACCCTGTTCCCGCGCGCGGTCTCTGTCAGCAAACAGCTAACTGCCACGTCTGCTTCTGTTCAACGCTCGCTTGCTCGTCCCTATATAAGGACTTAGGTGTAAGCGCTTGGCGCAACTCTCATCTGCAGCCCTTTTGGGCACCGTGCCTCTGGACACCCTGAGAGTTCGCCCCAGCACAGGTTAAGCTTGGCCGATAAAATAAGACCAAAACCCTGAAAGGTCTTCGAAAATTATTCTCGCGTCCGGTGGATATAACACAGACAGAAGAGCCAGTAGATATTAGTATTCCATCCCTGGAAGGGGCCCCTGTTGTTCTGTAACAGCTTTTGGCATCCCTAGGTGGGCCAAATATTGCCCTTCCCTCGAACCTCTGTTCGGTAACAGTTCTAGGGTCAAACTGGAACCAAGGAGCCAAAGTTACAGGGAGGCAGACTTCAGTGGGAATCAGGAAAGGCTGCTTTCTTTGCCTGAGGTCATGGTACAGTGTCTGTGCATGGCAGAGGAAGTTGCTGAATCCAGAACCAGGTGTCCTAACCCCAACGCCCTGCTGCCACCGCACCTGTCCACAGCCCAGTCAGGAGCAGGAGAGGCCATGCAGGCACTGCAATCGCCTGTCTCCCACCCACCTCACCCCTAGCCCCACCCACCTCACCCCTAGCCCCACCCCCAGCCAGCCCCACGCTCAAGGAAAGCCTGCCTTTCATGTTTCTGTGTCTGCCTTCCTGTTTGAGTGTTTCTGCAGCACAAAGGTGGAAGTAGCCTCAAATCAAAGGCTCTTTTCTGTCATTTGTAAAAGTCTGAGGCCACTGGCTAGATAATGGTGGGCGTGGGTATGGGGAAGAGGCAAAGGCTTTAAACTGGGGAAGAAAGACTACCAGATGCAGCTCCGTAAGGAAAGAGCAAGGCTCCTTCTCAGAAGGAGTGGAGCCATGCTGGTCTGAGGCTGCAGGACCGCAAGCCAGGCACCCAGCTGCACAAAAAGGCCCACATCCTGCACGAGCAGCCCTGGACCTCAGCTGACCCCAGAGGATTACTGTGGCCAGCGGGTGAGCTGCAAGCAGGAGACCAAGGGTTCAGTCCCTATCTTCTTAGCTCCATGTCTCCTGGTTCCTGGGGTCATTCTGGGTGAAGGGATCACGCCTATCATAACCAAGGAAGGGCTCTCTGGTTCTCTGCTCAGAGGAGGGCTCCGAGCCAAATGAGGTTGATTGGAAGGAAATAAAGATACTGACATTCTTTGCAAATCTGTCTGAGAACCACAGCAGGAGCACAGAAACCAAACACCACATTAAATGCATCTGCTCTGCCTCTTCCCCCGGGCACCGCCCCCAGCCTCCTGCCTTACCTGGGGAGCAGGTGTTTGCGGCTGATGCACAGGGCCGTCTGGTAGTCCTGGGTCACACACACCTTGTGAGGGCTGCACTTCACCTTCAGGCAGGGGTCTTTGGAAGGGTCCAGGGCTGAAGCAAAGAAGAACAAAAACAGGGAGGTTAGGGCCTCAGGGAAAATGTAATGTCTACTTCTACTCAGCTAGGTAAGTGGGAAGTAAACAGACCACGTGTCTGCACTCTGTGCTGTTTTCTTAGGCGGGAGGACTTTGGAAAGATACAACCCAAACGGTGGGAGGGGGGGAATTTGGTGTCTCCTGTACAGGTTCCCCTTCCTGTCAGGGTCACGACTCCTTCGTGCCATGGGGAGTTGCGGCATCTCCATCTTCAGCAGGATTTTAAAATCCTTTAGAATCTTACGCGCTCCAAGGGCCAAGAGCTACTTTCTCTTCTTTGGTTCTTTGTCTGCTATTGCTTTTTATTACTTCATCCATGCCTAATTTTACCTATTTTCTATAACATAGAAAGTACTTGAGGACATGGTTTTCTCTCCTTTTTTTTTCTTCAGTTCAGTCCACATGGACAAAGTGCATTAATAAGCCTAGTTTAAGTCTTGTGAAGAACGTCCAGATGCATAAAACAGTTCTGTGCCCCACAAAGTTACAACACAACAGGGAGGGGGAAAGCTTACCCATAAATATTTATGGAGTGCCGGAGGATTAGATAAGGGCCATGACGGGCATGCAAAGTAATGGCAGAGCTGGAGAGAAACACAGAGATCAATTTCTGGGGCAAGGATTAATGAAGCATTAATATGTGAATTGGATTTTGAAGGATGGGCAGGATTTTGAAAAGCCAAGAGAGAAAAAGCACTCCGGCCTGGCGGCCAGCATGGGCCAATGACGGGAGGCGTGTGTGGGCCACTGTAAGGTATTTCATCCGACCAGTACGTGCGATCTGTGCACGGGAATAATGAGGCAGGGGGAGAGCTGATCCAAGCAAGTCGCCGCAGGAAGGGTCTGCAAGGACAGCAGTTCCTACACTGTAACATTTCCTAGGCCCTCAGCTCCTCCATACTCTGCATGCTGGGGTGGCCCTGCTCCTCGAGGCTGAGCATCGAGGCAGGCAGTCTGCAAAACAAGAGCAACTGTGCCGCCTCCCCAGCCCCAGGGCCCAAAGCCTGGGAGGCTGTAGGTCTTCCATAACTGCTCTCCATGATGGCCAAGGGAGGAGATGTTCTCCCTTGTCCTCCCCATGCAAACATGTGGTTAAACCAATCAGCATCCAGAGCAGAGACAGCAAAACATCGGGGAGAAAGCGGCCTTCCCCTCCCCTGTGGGGCCCTCACCACCACGATCCCCTGCACTTAGACAAGTCGTTATTCCAGAATGAGCCCACCCAGGCCCAGAATCTCAACACCATTTTCTCCAGACAGCTGCTGGGAATGTCCCATGGGACCTGAACACAAACATCCGAAGGCAATCCTGCCACTTGGCCAGCTCAGCTCAGGGTGGCCCCCTCTGCTGCAGCAGCTTCACGCTGCAAACAGAAACCAGGTGCATCTCAGGCCAGTCGGGCCAGCAGTGAGACCAGGTCTTGGTAGGTCCCAGGGAAGCCTGCTTCTGGAGGAACCTGCTGGAGCTTAGCAGGAGGAAATGGGTTGCAAGATAAAGAGAGGCTGACTCGAGCCCCAGGGACACGGGGTCCACTCTGCGCTCCCGAAAGGAGGGCTGCCTCTTGTACTCTGGGTCTGCCCTCGGAGCGCTCTGAGCCTGGGCCTTCCCGAAACCTGCACTAGGAACTTCCTGGCCCCAGGTCGGATGCTCTTGGTCCTGGGGATTTCCACACAAGAAGCCAAGATGCTGGTGAGTCTCAGGCCAGTGATCTACTTCTTATACACTGTCCCCCACCCCAACCCAGGTGGCCTTCCAACCAACTTTATTACCCAAGACTCATGCAAACTTGAGCCAACAATGAAGACTGATTACCAGATGACAATTAATAATGGCCATGCGAGTCCTCTGCTGCCCCTTCTCACACTTTCTACCACCACAGGATGAAGTAAGACACTTACAGATCTCAAAACACTTGGGCCCAGGTCACGGGCAGCCCTGGCCCCAAGTACCAACTGAGGCAATGCCCCGGTAGGTGCCACAGAACCCTTGGGATTTTCCCTGGAGAGGAGCTCAGAGATGGAGATTAACAGGCTGGCCTAGCATGCCGCGTGCTGAAATCTGCAGTACTGCACAAGATTCATGGCCAAATTCAAGCTTCTTTTTGCTTCTGTAGCCAACTCCGCAAACATGCAATGTCCACACCATGAGCTGGGTAGCCTCAAAGAACAGTGCAGTTTCCAGGCAAAGAAGTAGGCCGAGCACAGTAGGGAAGAACAGACTGTCCGCCCGGTGTCTCCGAGTTTGAACGCTGGCTCTGCTGCTGACCAACCTCTCCGTACCTTGGCTGCCTCTTCTGCTGAAGAGGGTAATAACAGTACCTACTACTGCTTTTGGTTGTCAAGAGGATTAAATGAGTTAATATTTGTAAGTGCTTAGAACAGATCTCTTAGGTGTTTGTTAATTTTTTTGAGTCTGTATTTTGTTCCCAGAGTGAATAATAATCCTTCATAATAACAAGAACAGTCACTAACACCCTGTGCTTCAGACGAGCAGGCAGTGAATCACTAATGGGATTTCCATACTCAATGCTCCAACACCCAAGGAGGCTGCTGGCCTTAATATGCCCATTTTACAAGGAAAGATCTTACGGCAAGTCCCTGGTGAGAGGTGCAGTGGGCAGTGGACACCTGCTGGGCGGCTCCAGAACCCCATCTCCTTCCCACCACAGCCAGCAGCTGAGACACACCTAGAATGTCCTTTGAAAGGTGGACTGCAGGCCCGCCTCACGGCGTATATGGTACCCAGCTGCACGGTGCTCCCGAGGAGCCTTCCGGGCAGAATGAGTCTCGCTAGGTACCAGTACGGGGCAGCCAGGGTGCCCAGTGCGGCCCAGGCTGGGCCACGCAAGGCCTGCTCCAGTGCTCCCCAGAAGGTGGGGTGCCCAGCTGTGGGCAGGTGCGCCTCTGCCTACTCCCTCTGACTGTAGCCACCCCACAACTGAGTCGACTGACCAACCAGTGGTCTGGTCATTTTTCATCCTGCAACCTTGCCATCTGCCACCCTGTCATTAGGCCAATGTGATAGGTTGCCCCTCTTCCAACACTTGAAGCTGACGTTACTAAAACAAACAAAAAACTCCAACCAAAAATGCTAACAAATAAAAATCATCCATTATTTAACTCCCTCTGCATACTTCCTCAACAATTTGCATATAAAAATCATGTTGCCTAAAAATTAATTACCGGGAATTGAATACTTCACATATGTATGTGAGTTATTTAAATGAACTTCACAAAACAACAGAACAGTAACAAATCAAGCTGCCAGCATTTATTCAATCACCAGGTTTCCTCTTGTTTTTGAAAAACAGCAACATTGGAATTAAAAGGGGATGGGGATGGTGAAAGAAGTGTGTCATTTCCATTCAAATACAGCCTCTACCCAAGCTTTTCCTGGGGGCCCCAAGGCTCAGGGGACACTCTCAAAAGGCGACCCTCATGAGAGGCATCCAGCACCTGTTTTGGACAGGGTCACGTGGCTCCACTTTCTAAAGGGAATGATAAGACATCAGAATAGTAAGTGGCATTTAAGAGGCTCTTTAATCGGGTGCAGGGAAACCCGTGCCGGTAAGGAGGGGAGGGGAGCACTTGAGCTGGGTGTGAGTGATAACCCCGACCAGGGTTAGATGCTCCTCTGTCAGGTGCTAACGATTCCTGGGGACAGTGCCCCAAGTTGTGCTCCTTGGGCACGTACTTGGGATGAGGATGCAGCAGTCCCCACAGGGTGGCCAAGCCCATGTCCCCTACGCCTCCTCTGTCTCCATACCTGCAGGGTAACAGCCTGGCACAGAGCAGGTACCCACAGAGGCTTAACTTCATCTTTCCTGCCCGTACACACACACAAAAATCAAGTGTTAACTGACACATGATATATGTCCAATTAATTTTTCACTTACTTTTACAAAAACTTTTTTCAAATGAAAAATCAAACGAGAATGAATTAATTTAAAGAGTGATGTACTGAGCTGGGAAACACTGAATTCCAAATCCTATTAATTACAGGCTACATGTAATTTTTTTAATTAATTTTATTTTTTAAGCTCACTGCTTGATCTCAATTAAGGTAGTGATATTTCAATGATCTTAATTGTTTCCAAACTTGTCTTCAGTTCGATTCATTTTTTAATTGGCTACATTGCTTTTAAAATCAGGATTAAGGCTTTCTCTGCCTATGGGTACAACAAAGTGCTCAGGGGCAAAGGGCATGACAGCGGCAACAGCCTGGCAGGGTGCCACCTGAGGGAGCTGAGATGAGAGCAGGTTCCATTTCTGGGCTGCCCAAAGGGTCCCTGAGAGTCCCCTGGGGAAGTGACGCATGCTTGTGTTTATTCTAGTAATATTAGCAGAGCATCCATCCTGGGCAGGCCCGTGTGGCCAGCACCTCCAGAGTGAACGAGATGGCATTCCTCCCCGCCAGAGGAGATGAGCAGTGGGAGGGCGAGGGAGCTACCTCATCCAGTCTTCCCAGGGGGACGGGGGAGACTTCCTGGAGAGACTGACATCTATGAAAAAAAGTGGGTTTAAGCCACATACCAGATTGAGGAATAACCTTCCAGATAAAAAGCAGCAGCCTTTGCAAACATGAGAGAAATCACGGCAAATTTGGGGACTGCAGCATTTCATGGGGCTGGAACAGGCAGGGGGTGGGGCGGGAGTGAGAGGACTGGAGGGGGGAGGCGACATCATGGAGGGCCTTGCAAACCAAGCGAGGACAGGGGGACCGTGGCTTCCACGTTCCTCGGTGATGACAAACTGGGTAGAGCTGGAAAGGGGGTCTGTGGCACCCCTTCTTATGCTGATCTTTGTGGGCCTCCACTCTGTGGTAGGAGGAGGAGGAAGAGAGGACCCTTTATACACATTTTATGTGGAAGGTGGCACTTCAGTTAAGAATAGACATGCTGCACTCCTCCCCCTCCAAATGAGAGGCAGGTCAGGGTGGAGGTCCCAGTGTTCAGCT